CAGCAGTTTCACTGCTTCAAGAGCGTTCAGTTACAAGGCCATTCTGGAAGCTGCTCCAGCTGCTGCACAAAGGAGATGCATAAACTTCCTGCAGAGAAGAACAGGTTTTATGCATAGATAGATAGATAGACAGACAGATGGATAGATATGTGTGTGTGTGTATACACACTGTATTTCTATACACCTATATAGTACATACTAGACTCCTTTGTTAAACCTTCAGCAAAACAGACTAAGAGCCTAGGTGCATAATACTCACGCATTTAGTTAGTTGCCAGAACACAAATTATTTTTCTCCTGAATTGCACAAATATTGACCAAAAGTAATTTTTCTACACATTTTCAGACACCAGGAGGGCTAGACATAATTCACATGCAAGACTGCCAATATTCCATAATCACTCTTTGTGTTGAATATCCAGTTCTCACCAATTATGTTCTCCACAACATACAGTTTAGATCAGTATCTTGTTTTAATGTAAGCCTTAAAAGCCACCCCCAAGACCACTCAGACATTAGAAGGGAAAGCATTTAAAAACCACACTTCCCTACATGGCAAACAGCCTGCAGGTTAAGACATCTTTCATATTTTAGTAGTCTACACGTAGCAACATCACATACTGCAATGTACTTCTTGCCGTACCTTCTCTAACCTTCAAATTACTAGAAGGGAACGAAAAGATACCAATACATTCCGCTCACACCAACAACTGAGGTATGAGCAGAACTGAGGCTAACTCAGAGGTGTGCAACGAGACAGTAAAGAACAGAAGCCATCTCAACCTGGGCCTCAGGCGGCTAATTTGGGCCTCAGGCAGGCCCACACCCAGCCTTACCTGGGTAGTGCAGCAGCACTTGGTGTTCTTTTGCAGAAAGGAAAAGCTGCCAAGTGGGTTTCAGTACATGGTGTTCACTTGCATTTCCACGAGCAAGTGTGCAAGACAGCTTGAGCCTGGGCTGGTGCCATTGCGAGGAACGCCACTGCTGCTGCAGGCATATCCTGCCAGGAAGCCCACCAGTCAGGAGGGGAAGACACACACTGGCAGCCCTATTTTAAATTCCAAGCCATTTCCGCAGTGTTTTCTAGCATCAGCGCTACTGAACAGCAGTCACACCCCACTTAGATCTTGAAGGGAAAACCAGTAAAGCTTTTCTTTCCCCTGTGGGCCTCTTACATATAAGCCTATGCACAGGAAGAATCATTTGCTCAAGGAACACCCCAGAAAAGCTAACGGTTGTTAGGGATCAGTTTGAATGTGGATGCACAATCACTGAACCTCTCATTAACTTACCGACAACTCTATATGATTTACATCCTCTTCATGCCTCAGTTTCTTTAACTAAAGAGCCAGTAGCAACTTGTATGGCAATATTTTTCATATGATCTACAGGTACCACCTTTGCATACATTTAAAAAAATATTAAGCATCTAGCAAAAGATAAGACACAGAGGAAACATGAAAGATTTTTCTGGACTGTAGAATTTAGCAAGTTTCAGACTAAACTTTTTAAGACAAGGGACAAAAGTCAACAGCAACCTACAAATCCGTCACCACTAACTTAAGAACTCAGAATGCATTATGGAAACACACTATTTCAACAGATTACAAAAATACATTGGTGGAACGCACTAAAAACTAAAGGAACAAGCTCTAAGAAACGGTTGAGATACTTGCTTAGCATTCTATTTCCCTTGGGCCAACACACACCAAACTTCAAAATTATAGTAAAAATGTTTTATAAGGGAGAGAAGTATGCTCTCCTAAACAGACTGCCCATCCATGTGTTTTTGCTGCCTCAGTGCTACTTTAACACAAGCTGCACTTAGTTGCAAGCAGTTAGAAATACTAGTACTACATTCCTCGCAGGTCTGAGCGTTTTGAAAAGCCAAATATCATACATGCTGCCTGTGTAATACCTCCCATACATCCAAAAAAAAAAAAATCTTACGACCAGTCTTTGAGAAAAAGACTGCAGAATTCAGTTTCCCAACAGGCTAACTTGAAAGTAATATTTTAAATACCTGTGCTACACTTTGTAACAGCTTAGATTTTCTTTTCAGAGGGGATGGGGGGCACCATCTAACTCTGACATCTTCAGGAGCACACCTTACCACTTGATCCCCATGAGAGAGATCATTCACGGCCCAGCCTTTCTGATTGCAAAGAATTTCCAGTTAAAAGCATCCTTGCCTTGAGTAGAATTGAAGGTCAGATTGTTCATTTACTCAGGCATCACACACCAAGCATCTACCTCTTCCGTTATTTAAAAGGAAACTTCTAAATCTTATGTTACAAGAACTGTATTTGCAGGAATCGGAGACAGGGAAAGCCTCCCTAATCCGTTTACGATTATCTTCAACATTTGAAGGATTGGTGTGAAAAACTCATAAAGAGTTGTCAAAGCTGTCTACTGAGCTTGCTTTTAGTAGGATAGCCATTCTACACATGCAGAGTAAATAAAGTCAATCACCTTGAAAAGATTTTACATTGATCCTTTGACTATTAAGTAAGATTAACATCAAAGATAAACATTAAGAACACAAGCAAGTATGTTTGTCCTGACTATTAAGAGTTCTGTCACGCAGCATACGCAGAAGCAAATCATGGTGTAATACTTTCAATGAACAAGCAAAAATATTAAGCATTATGTGATCTTCCATTAAGCAATAAGACAGCGAGAGTTTTAAACAGGATGACAATCGACCAATATCAGTATAATAGCAAAGCATAGGCTAGTCTCAAACTTATTTTTAGACAAATTACCTTCATTTTTGACACTGAGTATTATGCATACAGTGCAATAAAGAAGTGTCATCTGTCTATCAAGCCATGAAAAAAATATCAGCACACTCCAGCCAGATAAGAAAACAAATATTTATTAGAAACTGGTAGTTTTATAGAGCTAAAAAGGTAAACATATGTTTAAGAGACAAAGAATACACAATTGAACACAGTCATCATAAAGGCACATAATGAAAAATCAAATTTGAAAGACTCCATCTTTTCAACATCAGAAAACATCATTACCATAATTTCAATATTCATAATGGCACTTGCATACTATAAACAAAATTGAGCAAGTCTAGAAGACAGACACTGCTAAAGTCATCTTCGCATCACACACTCCCATTACATTTGCTCATTGGTCACAGTCAAACAAAATGATTGAGAACCGATCTCACAAATCGCACAAAGATACAAGAATATTGGCAAAACCGAGAAACATTCAGATCAGAAAGGCATTGTACATATGGATGACTTGGATATAATGACTTTTTCTTTTTTAAAAAAAGTGCAAAGTCCGAGGTTTCCCTAAAGGGAAGGCCAAAAGACACAGCTAAAGCTGCCATCTTCTGAAATCTGATAAAACAATATTTTATGATACAAATTTTACGGAGTAATTATGTATCAGTTTATGGAGAATAAACACCAGCCATGGAAGCACTGAACACAGACTTACATCTGATTGCTGTTTGAAAAATATGACCCAAGTAGTACGTGGAACAAGGGAGGTTCAGGCAGTTTTTCATGTTTGCTTGCCTATTTGTTCGGGGAAAAAAAAAAAACAAAACAACAAACAACACCAAAAAACCACAACCCAAACAAACAAGAAAGAAGAAAAAGAGACCCTTAATGACCTCACAGGAACAAAGTTCTTCCTCCAGTAATCCAATTTCAAGAAGTGGTCTAAGAGCAGTTGCTTTTAGAAGGTCAAGATAAGTATAAAGATAATCTTAAATTTACAAAGATTAAAACCACACATTGCAGACAGCAGAAAAAGTGTAACAAATGAGTTCGGCAACAACTGTTACTCTATTTCAGTGTTCATTCCTGAAGGCAACTGAAATAGGGCACACACCACACCCACCCACCCCCCCCCAAAAGGAAGTCACTTTGGAAGTACCTGTACATGGAAACACCTCACTTTCTGCATGGAGGAAGTGCTGCTTTCTTTTCTGAGGAGGAGCTGTTTCTCAAGCACTAACAAGTTCTGCGTGCGTGCTCTGCTTGCTTCACTAGCACCAACCTGCTGGGCACCTGAGACCAGCAGTCCCATTTGGACACAATGCTTCATTATTCTACTATCCGAATTTCACACACACAGCCAGCGGGCACACAGCCAGCTGGCACAGACGACTGTGAGGGGAAGAGGATTTACCTCGCGTGACAAACCTGTAAAAACTTCACATGATAATGCAATCCCCTCTTGGCTGAAAGCACATAGTGGACCACGGCCCTCTAA